TATCACCACTCCTGTTCAATATAGTTTTGGAAACATTAGCCACAGCAATTAGACAAGAGAAATAAATAAAAGGAATAAAAATAGGAAATGAAGAAGTCAAATTGTCATTGTTCGCAGATGACATGATACTCTATATAGAAGACCCAAAGAACTACACCAAAGGTCTTGTATACTTAAAGAAATTCAGTAAGTAGCTGGATACAAGGTCAACACATAAAAATTGATAGCTTTCCTATACATGAACAACAGACTCACTGAAAACAGAACTGGAGAAACAACTCCTTTCATAATAGCATCCAAAAAATGAAATGTACCTAAGAATCAACCTAATGGAAGAAATAGAATACTTCTACTCTGAAAACTATAGCACTACAAAAAACAAGATTGAAGAGAATAGCAGGAAATAGAAAGACATCTCTTGCTTCTGGGGAGGAAGAAATAATATAGTGAAAATGACTATATTTTCAAAATTGCTATATTCAAAGCAATCCCAATTGGAATTCCAGGAGCATACTTCATGCACCTTGAGAAACAATTCAAAAATTCATTTGGAACAAGAAGCCCGAATAGCAAAAGCAATTCTAAGCAACAGAGACATAGCAGGGAGTATCAGAATCCCCAACTTGAAACTACACTGTAAAGCTACTGTGATGAAACCAGCATGGTACTGGCAAAGAAACAGAACCAAGGACCACTGAAACAGATTAGAAGATGAAGAAACAACTTCAGACACACTCAGGCAAATCATTTTTGACAAAGGAGCCAAACACCCTCACTGGAGGAAAAATAGCCTCTTCAATAAATGGTGCTCAAAAATTTGGGTTTCAACTTGCCAAAGATTAAAACCAGACCTATATCTCTGTGTACTAAACTGAAACCGAAATGGATCAAAGATCTAAATATCAAAACAGAAACACTAAATCAGCTGGAAGAGAATTTAGGTAGAACTCTTGAAGGCATTAGCATAAGAGAAGATTTCATGAACAAAACCTCAGGTGCACGTGAACTAGCACAAAGAATGAACAATGGGGAACTCATCTTATTAAAAATCTTCTGCACAGCAAGAGAAAACACCAACAGCATGAAGAGACCACTCAAAATTTGGAAGAAAAATTTTACCAGCTGTTCCTCAGAAAAGGTCTACTATCTAGAATCTATAAAAAATTAAAAATTCTGACCTCCCAAATTTAAAGATGCAATCTAAAAATGGGCATCTGAAATGAACAGACATTTCTCAGACAAAGAAGTAGAAATATCAAATAAACAGATGAAAAATGTTCAACATCACTGGTCATTCAAGAGATGCAAATGAAAACAACACTGAAATTCCACCTCACCCCAGAAAGAATGGCTGCTATCATGAAATCAACCAATGACAAATGCTGACAGGGCTGTGGGGAAAGAGGAACCCTTCTCCACTGTTGCTGGGAGTGTAGACTGGTGCAACCACTGTGGAAATCAGTAAGGAGATACCTCATAAAACTAGGATTAGAGGTCCCATTTGAGCCAACTATTTCCTTTCTGGATATTTTTTCCCCAAAATTAAAAGAATTGTACCACAGAGATATAGGTGCATACATGTATATAGAGGCACAGTTTGTAATAGCTAAAACTTGGAAACAGCCCAATTGCCCATCAACTGGAGACTGGATAAAGAAAATTTGTTGTTTAAAAATAAAGTGGAGTGCTACTCAGTCATAAAGAATGAGAAATCAGAAACATTTATAGCTCAATTGATGCACATTGAGGTGATGCTCTTAAGTGAAATAAATAGGAGACACGTGTAAATACCAAATAGGTTCTCTGGTGTGAGAAATTGAACGTGTCAATAAGGATCAAAATGTATAGTAGATAATATGAAATAGGAAGAAAATGTCCAAAGCGGAAAGGGAAGTGAGAGGGGTAGGTGAAAGGAAAGAAGGGAAAGGAATAAATATGATAAATGGAAAAAATGGAAACAAAGTCTTTGTAAGTAGGGAGGGGTGGAGGTGTTGAAGGGAGGGCAGGGGAATGGGGAAAAAATAAGAACCAAGTTAGATTAGGTAAATATAAATTCTTAATAATGAATGTCATCATATTGTATACCTAAAATGTACCAATAAAACTAATGAATTAAAAAAATTAAAAAGTATTTCATGTTTGCTTAATACCTCATTTATGATATAGATTATTTTTCCTTTAACTGTAATTAGAGTTATTTAACACCTATTACTGGTATTAGTTTTCCTTCTAATAGCAATTTAGAATCTAAGTTTCAGCCACACTTTGAACTCAACGTGTAGCTGTACCTACCCTTGAACTCTCAGCAATCGCTTCCTGAATATTGAGATTACAGATGTGCATCAGCACTCCCATAATATATGCTAAGAAGCTTTGAAAAAATAATTTCAGATAGAATTTCTTGCTAACATTTCCTCACATATATACTGATAATTTTTGTTCAGTGTCTTATTTTTCTAGTGGATTCACTTAGGAAAGATTCCAGTATGACTTGTTGAAATTGCCATCTTTACCTTTTCATGAATAATCAGAGGCCATAATGATTCAATAAATATTTATTATTAATGTTATACTGTGATCTTCAGGAGTCTCATGTAGTTTCTTTGCATCTTTAATTTGTTTCCCATAATAGTCATGTTTTTGTTAAATCATTCAGGATATTAGACACATTTATAAATGCTGTCTTAAAGTACCTATTTGCTTATTTTATGGCCAATTTCATTTCAGGACTTAGTTACCTCCTGGGTAGGTCAATGATTTGTAATTAAAAGTCGAATATTTTACATTTATGTTAATGTGTACCTTCCACTTTTTGATATATTTTCCTTAAAAAAATAAATATGAAAGAACACTAGTAGATGTCCTGGGTATAGAACAAAATTCTCCACATGCTGGCTTTTAAGAAACCAAATATTTGCCTGAATAGAAATCCACGTGATCCACATATATGCTGTACACATGCAAGAAAGCTATATTTTGAACTGTAGTTTAAGATTCAGTACATAAAAATAAAAGCAAGATTAAGAGGAAAGATGTCAAAAACCAAACCACAGCAATTAAAGCAAAGCAAAAACATAGGTCATTGATGTACAATGCAATATCCACTTTTATTTGAAGAATAAAATATTCCATATGGAACAATATTGAATAAAAACCAGAGAATTGGGGGGGGAGTAAAATTTAATTGATATTTAAAATTTGAGGCTTAATTGGGCTGGAAAATAATGACAATAATGAAATTCTCTATACAGGTATATTATAGTGAATGTTGCCTCTGATGACAAAATATGTTATCAATTATAGGAATGATTCAAGTGAAATGCTTCTTTAGTTTTAGTTTGTCAATTGACATTGCCTTTTCAGTAACACCTATTTATTATGCTAGTATTCTATGTGAAAACACTAAGTACAGACTTTAAATTTATTCTTGAAGACCCTGTAGAAGGCATTTTTAACTTCTTTGTTCCTAAAGCTGTAGATCAATGGGTTTAGCATGGGGATCACTAATGTGTAGAAGACAGAGGAAAGTTTATCAATATCAGAGGACTGAGCAGATTTGGGCTGCACATACATGAAGAAAAGAGTCCCGTAGAAGACTACCACCATGGTCAGGTGAGAAGTACATGTAGAGAAAGCTTTTTTTTTTCCTTCTGCAGAATGCATTCGACATACAGCTAAGAGAATCATAAGGTAAGATAATAGTACGACCAGGAAGGAGGATGTCACATTAAAACCTGCAAATAGGTTGATCATCAAGGCTATATTTCGTCCATTTGAGCACAGCATAAGTGATAAAGGAACATCATCACAGTAGAAGTGATTGACCTGAGAGCTACAGAAAGTAGATATGAAAGTCTTAATAGTGATCAGCAGAGCAACAAAGCTGCTGTAGAGGTACGGAATGACCACCAGCACATGGCAACGTGTCTGGGACATGATGACGCTGTAGAGCAGAGGGTTGCAGATGGCCACGTAGCGGTCATAGGCCATGGCTGACAAGATGAAAAGTTCACTGATAATGAATGTGACAAAGAAGGTCATCTGGGTGGCACAAGCATAATAGGAAATGGTATTTTGACCCATAACAAAATTTAGCAGCATTTTGGGATAGATGACAGTGGCATCACCAAGGTCAATGTAAGCCAGTTGTCTGATAAAAAAATACATGGCTGTGTGTAAGTGGGAATCCAGCTTGGTCAGAATGATCATGCCCAGGTTGCCTACCACTGTGAGAGCATAGACGATGAGGAAGATCCAATAGAGGGGGAGCTGTAGGCTGGGGAAGTTGGAGACTACACTCAGAATGAAATTAGTTGGCACTGTTACATTCTTTCTCTCCATGAGGGCCAGATATCTTTTCTGGGGAGGAAAAAAGGGAAATGATATGTGTGTCATTCAAAACTGGCAAACGAATGTAAATACTCATGCACAGAATGGAGATATTTATTGTAAAAGTTTATTCTTCTGATTGTAATTATTTTAAAAGGAGTATAATTTTCTCTTTCTCTAAATGAAGTAACCATGTGAAATACATGAATAGTTTCACTTGTTGAGAGAGTCAGTACTATTTGGAACATGTCTATTTTTAACAAAAGCATAATATTGTTAATGTAGAAACATTAGGCTTTATTTCATCTGCAGGATGGAACCAGTGTTTTTTTTCTGAACATATAAAGGGGATAGAAAACTAGAGTAAAAGTTGAAATAGAACATATCTATCTCTTACAGTAAGACACATCACCATTAATCACCCCTACATCATCCTCTTTGGTTCAAACACACAAATGTCATTGTTCTTGCTACTTTGACAATCAGTTCTGACAGTCTCCTTCATGAATTTTTTAACGAGATATGACAAAAATTGATAAATGCTGCTGCCAACTTCTATGCAGTAGATAGACAGTCAAATAAGGTCACTGTGACAGGTGTCATACAACTTACCAGTTCTGTCATAGCATGAATTGTGGCTCTTGTCCAAGGTAAGAATGACCTTGAGTGGTAAACATTCTCAATTGATTCAAGACTTCAAGGCAGCCAGAAAAGTGCAACTAAAGACACTCATGCAATAGTACTTAGAGAACTCCTTCAGAAAGTGACAATAATGATGGAATAAATAAATGAAGGACAATGTTTTGAAAATGATTAAAGGCAATGCACCCTTTACCTGTTAAAATTTGTGTTTACTTAAACGTACTCTGTGTTTTTGGAACACACCTTGTCCTGTTTCTTTAGTCCATCAATTCTAGTGGAGTTTTAGTATTCTTAAAAGTTATGTGGAGCTTTATCAATTTTGAGAGACTTCCCTGTTACTTGTGCCCAAACCAGGCTATAAGCATCACAGGCTGTAAAGTTAACCCCACAGTTCGTTTATTTTAAGGAGTGAGTTGCCCGAATCATATGATATAACATATAGCCGAGTTCAGAGAGAATCTTACCCAAATTCCATTTCCACCTAACACGAAAATGCTTTGTCTCTTCTTTTACAAGCCTTGTCTACATCAGCAACATATCCCTTGCAACCACAACCTTATCAAACCTAACCATGATTGTGTCACTAATAAATATTTGTAGTTCTGGCTTTTCAAAGTTTTGTCTGTTTGTTCAGCGCTGGCCATCATGACACCCTGGCTCCCTGTCTTTTTCTCTTCTACTCTGTCTCTAAGTTTTTTTCTCATTATACATCATAGAACCAACCAGGAGATCTGGACCCACTCCAGGGATCTCAGATGATCAATTACTTCACAAAGCAAAACATTTTTTGTCAAACCTACAAAAATAAGACATAACATTCAATCAATTAAGGTCACTTTGTCTTTGCCTTGTGAGTTGCATTCCTTCTTGCTTTCATTGAAGTCATAGTGCATTAAGGTCTACACACATTTGTAGAGTCCAAGAAATAGAGAATTGAGGTAATGATATTTTATTTGGTGATTAGTGTATATGTTTATAATATACAAATGTTCAAATTTGGTAGTGTTTATCATTGATAAATTCTGCCTTTTTACATAGAAAAAGGTATTCACCAATATCTGTAGGTATGTCAATTTCATTAACAAAATTAATTAATTCATAGATTTTATGTTGTTTTCACTATTTATACCTGAAGTTCTTAATTTTTTTTTCATTCTCAGTAAAAATTTACATTCATTAATCAGAGTGTAAGGATAACTGCACTTTGTTTCAGTGAAAGAGAATCCTCCACTACATTAGATTTTAAGATGCAGACCTATTCTTGCTCATATATGTAGGTTTTTGTCAACACACATGGAGTTTGAGTATTTAATTTTATATGCTTTATATCATTAAATAACACCAGTAAGATGTCAGATTTTAAATACACTGAAATTTTCTTTGTATCATTTTCATAACATATACTAATAGATTTTAAGTTATTTCTGCAATTTTTATAATGGAACAGAATATGACAGTATGATATTAAAATATTTCAGTAAAAAGCATTACCCTTCATTTCACAAAGTTAATGTAAGAAGACTATCGATCAAGCAGAATAGAAGAAAGTTGGGGAGCCCATTTAGCCTAACCTCTTGATTTCTCTTCCTGCTACATTTAGTGTCAGCTCATTGAAAACCTGGAACTGTGTCAATGTGATTTTCTGTGGAGAAGAAAATGGATGTCACACACTCTGTTCCAGGAATGCAGAATACAAATGTTTATTGGGACTTCGGTGTCCCCCTGCACAGACACCAGGTATCAGGTTCTTGGAGCCCAGCACAAAGTGGGCAAGCACAGATTGGAGCAGCTGCCTTGCAGAGCACAGCGGACCCAGTGGGCAGCAGCTCCAGGAATCTGCTCACATTGGAGGCCATCTGCATTTCTGAGTCAGGAAGTGGGGCTAGGCTTGTGTCTCTTCTCCCTAGTGCAGTCCTCATGGCTGCTTCCTTTGAGTCTCACTCCTCTCAGCTCTCTTCTTCACACTCATGGACCATAATCTGTTTCCTTCTGAAACTTTAATTTTGAATTTGCGAGTTTCTGAGATCTGCCATCTTAGTGTTTTACTGTACAGTAGAAGATGCATTTGATTGAGCAAAAGCATCCAGAATTCCAGTGCTAACCTTATGAATGTGAAGTACTTCAATTTTCCCAATAATTCTAGATTTTTTTCAGTCCATTTTAGTTTGCATTTTACATAGCTGTGAAGCTCTATAAATTTCTTCACCCTGTGCAGCTTACATGTATGAAAAAGAATATGTCTGGCTCTTCAGAAATATCTCATTGTACATATTTTAAATATTTCCACTTGGATATCAACTAGAGCAAGCAGAGCACAAAAATTATGCAGAAGATCTGTTTTTCAATCTTTATGCATACTTATTTTAGTTAGCAATTATTCAAGGTTCATGGTTTTCTTCATAACTTTAAAACTCTTAAAACATTTATATTTTTCCTGTATATTGAATGTTTGTATTATCCAATATGAAAAAATAGAGCCATAAATAACAAATGTGCAGAAAAAATTATCAAAAACTAAAATATCTGTACATTTATGCTTTTGACTTACTTTAATAAAAATTATTTGCACTTTCTGAAATTTCACCTTCAAAATCTTGTCTTGAAATATTTTTCTAAAATAGTTATTATATATCTTTATTAAAGTGATATTTCAACAATATAATATTTCATAAAATATAAGTACGATTTTTCTTATATCTGAGAATCAAATTCAATTGCCTTTTATTTTATCTGGAAATCCTAAACTTAATAGTTTCTAAATGATGCAATCAGTGATTACACTTTATATTTTCTCTACCTCCTTTTTTTCTTGCCTTATCTATATGTCACATAAATACTTACAAGTTAGGTAGATGTAGGATGTATGTTCAGTTCATCAATTTTTAAAACTACAATAAAATACTTATCTGAGAAATACTTATCTGAGGTACAGTAGTTCACGACAGAGATACTGAATTTTGTAGTGCATTTAAAGGAATCAATTGTCATTGACTAAGTGTCTGTAGTCAAAGTCCAAAGGAAATGAAGACCTGTGAAACACAAGTGAGCATCAGAAGTTAAGGCAATTCTTACCCACCTCCAAAGAAGAATCAGATTCCCTTCTCTGAGATCACTCTTGGAGTTTGGATAAGAATTTAAGGATCCCCATCCTTTGTGTGACATTCCCTGAGGAAATACCACTTAATTCATTCCATTCATTATATCTAAATCACCTGAGAGACTTACAATTTGTGCTGGTGACAACCTGTATGTTTCCCTGTGGGAAGGTGTCAAGTAGACTCAGGGACAGGAACAACATAAATGAGCAGAACACTCCCATGGAGACTTCAGAAATTTGGAGGCACTTGTTCCCCTACTTACATGGAATCAAACAGCAGAGCAGCAAAGGGGAAACTTTCACCCCACTTTACCCCTGTGATCTGGGACAGTTCCAGCATCATCAGGGAATTTTAAATGATGTCATCCTATCACTTAGGATTAGCCTTTCTCTTTAGTACAGAGTAGGCACTAAGTTAAAAACATGTAATTTACCTCTTACATGTGAGATAGAGTTTAAGAAGTCTCATAAATGATAACTGAAAGATATGAAATTAAAACCTGATCTGTAAATGAGTATGAGACAGGTGTTCTTTTTAGACAAAAGCTTGACAATTATGATAAAGCAGTGATTTATTACAATGTCTATGCAGCAGTTGTATTTCCTGGGATGAAATCCCACTACTATTACATATTGTTCAGTGAAATCATATAGAAGGTACAATCTACTAAATATGATATCATTCATCTTTCACATTTTAAGCATGAATTCTTCCTCTTTGACTTCCATTTGTAGAGAAATTAGGGCCATTTACACAGAGAAACTTGGAATTTTACAGAGCAAAATATTCAGTTTTGAAAAAAGAATTTCATGTTTACCTAATAGCTAAATTATGTCATAGATTTCCCTAGACAGTTCCCACTCTTAACCTTTTTATTTCCCACACCATAGGTCTTTCATCTTGAAGACATTTTCCACATATCTTACCTCAAACAATATCTTGTCATCCTCAAGCCATTGTTGCTGTGAATTCTTTGCCTGCATTATTTTCTCTGATTTGAATTTCATGTCTGTGAAATCACACAATGTATAACCTCTATTTTGTTTCATCCTCTTGGCATATTCTTTCGAATCTTATCCCTGCTGTGTCTATACTTTTGTGGGTTACTCAACTGCATAACTATTTTGAAATTCTTTTATGAGATATATTTGAGTTTAGGATTATTTTGATATATTTATTATAAACACTTTACGTAGGTATATTTGTTGACAAAATCATTAGTTACTCTTTATTCTAGAAGATGTTTTGGAATTTCTGGATCATAAAGTAAAT